TGGATAGATGGGTGGATAGATGGGTGGATAGATGGATGGAAGGATGAGTGGATGGATGGATAGATGGGTGGATAGATGGGTAGATGGGTCTCTAGGGCTGTCCAGTCCAGCCAGCTGCACTCCCCTTGTCTTATACATGGAAACACTGAGGCAAGAGCAGTGAAGGGCCTCTCTGGGCCTCGGTACCTGCAATACCACATTTGTTTAACATTTCATAAACCTTTCCTGGGCCTTTACAAGGCCAAGCACCAGGTCATATCAAACAGGGACTCAGCCCCCCAGGAGCCTGTGACCAGTGGGCAGCTCAGGTGAGTGGTGAGGTCCCCTCCAGCTCTGGGGCCTCAGGCTGCACCCAAGTCTCCACAGCAGCCCTGCACACATTTCTGGGGTCCCAGGAGAGAGGGCTGTGCCCACTTGGACCGCATTTGTACTATGGAGAATGAGCAGGCTCCTCTGTGGTCCCCTCTGGCCCAGCTGCACAATTGCCCAGCACAGCCTCCCTGGCTGGTCTCCAGCCTCCCCCCGACCCTCAGACCTGAGGGTCTGTGACCCTGCAGAACGTGGGAGAGCCCTGGGAAGTGGCCTCTGCCTGGTGGGGCTTGGGAGGCAGACCTTCTCCCTCCGGAGCCGTGCCAGGTCCTCGCGGTGGGCCAGCGCTTGGCTCTCCAGGGCCAGCTGTGAGTCCCGCTCCAGCTGTGCCACCTGCCGCCGGAGCCGCTCCAAGTCCCACTGCAGCTTCATCTCCCGGACCTCGCCTGTGCTCTCCAGCTGCTCCATGTCCACTGGGAGAGGAAGGGACGTCAGGCCAGCCAACAGGGCCCCTAGGCCACAGAGCCACCTTCCCAGTCAGGCCCTGTCAAGCTCCTGAGGAGCATTTCATGCCCATGGCCAGTGTGTGTCCTGAGCCCGGACACCATGCTGGCTGTGACCAGGCTTGGGAACCAGCAGTGATGGCCTGCACGGGTGGCTGTGGGCTGAGTGGGGGTGGGGGCGGGGAGGTGGGGGAGCCCTTGAGTGGAGCTCAAACAGTGGGGCAGAGAGCCAGCATGCTGATCCCGTAGCCGCGGCCCAGTCCGGAGCCTCAGGCCAGCGCCGGAAGCAGGTCAGGCAGGGAGGGACCTGCCAACCCCTGGATAAGGGCTGGCACAGCTTGTCCAGTCGCAGGGGCACCAGGCCAGAGGTCTGTGCTCCTCAGGGGCCTCATGTGGGGGCAGCACCTCGGGGACCTGGAGGAGCACCTTGCAGGGCCTGCTGTGTGAGCCGTGCGCTCTGGGCCTCTCCCTCCAGCTGCTCCTGCTGCGCCCGCAGCTGCGACACCAGCTGTTGGGCCTCAAAGAGGCTGCTCTCCAGGGAGTCCCTTTCTGCCCTGCAGACGAGAATCAGACCACAGGGGTCAGCCTCACCCGGCGCCCACAGGGAGAGGCATCCGGCCCGCGCCCAGTGGCTGGCTTACAGGGCCTTGCAGTCTAGGCAGGCTGGCATATCAGACAACGCACGGGAGACACGGCATTTGTCTCGGGTCTCTGAAAGTGAACTTGGACCCTACGCAGAAATATGTGCCAGGTGAGATAAAAGCTAACTGCAAAACATAAAAAAATCACACAGCAATGGTATGGATGGAACTGTGTCCCCCAAATAGAGATGTTGAGGCCCAACCTCAGTGCCTGGGAATGTGACCTTGTTTGGAAATGGAGTTTTTCTTCTGTTATCAGATAAGTTAATGAGGTCATAGAGACATCGAAAACAACCCAAAAAACCTGTTGCCATAGAGTGGATTCCTGACTCACCGCGACCCTATAGGACATAGTAGAACTGCCCCATAGGGTTTCCAAGGAGCAGCTGGTGGATTTGAATCGCTGACCTTTTGGTTAGCAGCTGAGCTCTTAACCACTGCACCACCAGGTCTCCCTCACAGAAGTAGGGGCTCCTATTTCCTTTTGAGAGAAGTCTTATAAAAGGGGAGAGGAAGCATGGACCAGAGTCACACGGGGAAGACAGGCGCCATGCGGAGATGCATCTGTAAGTCAAGGAATGCCGACAGACGCTGTGGCTACAGAAGATAAAAGAGACAAGGAATGGTTTTCCCCTCTGGCAGACAGAGGGAGCATGGCCTGGTCAACACTCTGAATTTGGACTTCTAGCCTGCAGAATTGTGAGAATATAAATTCCTGTTCTTTAAGGCCACCCACTTTGTGATACCTTGTTACGGCAGCCCTGGGAAACCAAGACAAGCAGCAATAACAAGACAGCTCTGAACTCCAGAAGCAATACAGAAGGGAATTCGCTAATCTTCTCAAGCAAGACACAAAACCCAGAAGACAACGAAGAGGCCAATAGATCTGAATACACTTAAAAAGGGGAGGGGGAGTTTTGTATGAAGCCCTGAGGGCACACTGGTTAAGAGTTTGGCTGCTAACCAAAAGGTCGGCAGTTTCAATCCACCAGTTCCTCCTTGGAATGGCTCTGGGGGGCCGTTCTATTCTGTCCTATAGGATCACTATAGAGTCAGTATGAATTGGAATCGACTCAACAGTGTGGAAAATGGGAGTTTTGTGCAGACAAGTTTCCATAAACCAACTTAAAAGACAAGGGGCAGACTTTGGAGAAAAATCTGCACTATACATACATACATACATATATATATATATATATATATATATATATATACACACATGTATGCATATACGTAGCAAGAGCCCTGGTTGCACAGTGATTAAAGCCATGGACTGCTAACTGAAAGGTCAGCAGTTAGAAACCACCAACAGCTCTGTGTGGGAGAAAGATGTGGCAGTCTGCTTCCAGCGAGGTTTACAACCTTGGAAAGCCTATGGGGTCGCTATGAGTTGGAATCGACTCAACAACAGTGAATATATATATGTATATATAAAGGGCTAAGATTCAACATAAGCAAAGAGCTCCTACCAACCAATAACAGAAAGTCAGCTGATCCTGCAGAAAAATGTTTACAAAGGGAACACAAATGGCCATTAAACACTAAACGTGAAATCTGCTCAGCCTCACTGGAACACCGTGAGATCAGATCACAGTCATGCGGTGTTATGTTAATCACGCACCACATAAGCAAACACTTAAAATGGTGATAATACCCAGTGTTGGCAAGGGTGTAGGGACAGGTTTTTTTTTGGGTGGGAAAACTTCAAAACTTAAAATGTGCGTTTCTCTGAGCCAGCTATCCCACCTCTAGGAGTCAAAACTATAGAAATTCACATATATTGACAATGCATATACAAAGGTATCCACTATAGCCATTTGTAAGGCATTAATTGGACTTACTGGCTAAAGGCCAGTAAAAGAGAACGTGTTTTAAAAATGATGGTGCCGCTGGTCTCTGGAGCACCATACAGGTATTGACAAGAAAACCATGTCCTCCAGGGGAGCCATGCCAGGGCTCCCACTGAACTTCACCTCTTCTAGGTACCCCCCACCCCAAAGGCACAGCCTTTCTCACGTGCAAAGACATACTTGTTCAGCCCTCAGTCACAGTGTGAGCGTCTGCCCCCTGCCACACTCTCCAAGGGCGAGGCCACGTGGGATGTGCCCTGACCATAGGCCCAGGGGTACCTGAGATCAGCTGTCTCCTTGGCCATGAGCCGGCTGTGCCTCTCCAGAGCCTCCTGCTTGGCCAGCAGCTGGGCCTGTTCCTCGGACAAAGCCTCCTTCTCCTGCATGGCTCGCTGCAGGGTGTCCATCTGGGCCTCCCAGTCCCGCAGGCTCTGTGCCAGCTGCTCCTCCAGGGCCTGCTTCTTGCATGTGACCTGTCGGAGGGGGAGAAGAAGGCCAGGAGAGATAGTGAGAATGAGTGGGAGGGTGAGGAGGGGCCTGCTGTGGAAAGGAAGGGCTTCTGAACAAGAATGGCACAGAAGGAAAAGTGGGAAAGACACAAGAAATATATTGAATCTCAGAAATGCATCCGTGCATTTTCACAGTGGAGGGGACATCCACTCCCTGATTCGTGATGGAGAAATGATCAAACTGAGCACTCCCAGCAGGAGCCAGCGGCCAATCTAAATGGTAACCTTTGTTGAGCCACACATGTCCAGGAGGCAGGAAATATCACATAGAAATGCCAGTGCAAGGTAGTGGAAAACTAGATTGTTGCAGACCAAGAAGAATAAGAAAGCCCGGACAAAACATATTACAAGAATTTGTATGAGTCCTCAGAGAGCTACAAAGGCAGCCAGGACTGGGGAATCCAAGAGCTTGGAGAGAGGGGAAGCACAGAGGAATGATCCCACCATTTGGTATCTCTTTCCACCTCAAAGAATTTAAAGCATTTGCTCATTTAAAAGTTTTGGTTGAGAAGCTGAGAAGCCAAGGAGAACTTCTGGCAGTATTATGGCCTTAAAAAAAACCAGTTGCCATCCAGTCAAATTTGACTCATGGCAACCCCATCTGTGTCAGAGTAGAACTGTGCTCCATAGGGTTTTCAATGGCTGATTTTCTTCGAAGTAGCTCACAAGACCCTTCTTCTGAGATGCCTCTGGGCAGACTTGAACTACCAACCTTTCAGTTAGCAGCCAAAGACTTCGCTTTTTGTACCAGTCATGGACTCCACGATGGCCTTTGGGGTACAAAAATTGGAGTTTAGAGCCACCGAAGCAGAGGGGCCTTGATAAGCACCTCAAGTGTTCAGCTGGAGTCCCAGAAGGGCTTCACCCTTATAGTGGTGAATGGACCATCACTCACAGAAACTGAAGCTCAGGTTCAAATCAGCTTAAGCACTGGCTGTATTGTGGTGATCATCTCCTACCTTCACTGTTTGCTAGAGTCAAAAGCCAATTCTCTGTGGATGAAGAGTAGCATCATAGAGACTCTCAAATTATTTCTTAATTTTTAAAAATATGATACTTGGCACTTAATCAACATTACCAGGCATATCAGGAGATGGGATCATATGACAAAAAACACATGTAAGAACAGAAAATAGACATGGACCTCCAGGCTATCCAGATACTGGAGCTATCAAACATGGACTTCAAAATACTTGTGATTATATGTTCAAGAAGATGGATGGCAAGGTGTAGAATTTCACAACAGAACTGAAATCTGTAGGAAAGAATCCAAATATAAATTATATATTTAATAATACAATAGCCAAAATTAATAGAGGGGTTCAACAGCAGATTAGATAGAATGAAGGAGAGGACTAATGATCTAGAAGATAAAAAGAATGTGTTCAGACTGAATCATGAAGAGAAAAACAGATGGAAAATTCAGAAAAGAATGTAATAGAAACAGAGGGCAAGTTAAAAAGGGTCCAAAGAAAAAAATGAAAGGAAAGAGAATATTTTAAAAGATACTGGTCAATAATTTTCCAAATCTAGCAAAATACATCAAGCCATAGATTCAAGGTGAGCCATAAATTCTCAAAAGAATAAATACAAAGAAAATATCACCAAGATATATCTTAGTAAAGTTTCTGAATACCACAGGTAAAGGAAAAAATCTTGAAAAATCAGAAGAAAAAAGACATCTTCAAATGAGCAACAGTAAGACTGACAGCTGTCTCCCAAACAGCAACAATGGAAGCCAGAAGACAATGGAATGACTTCATCAAAAAGCTGAAAGAAAATAATGGCTATCCTAGTATTCCACACCCAGTGAAATATTCTTCAGAAATGAAGACCAGAACCTCCTGTTTCTGGTAATGGCAAAGACTGTTGAAGACCAACGCTCCTATTTAGAACAACTAGAAAAGCTGAATGATATTTAAAAAAATCTGTTTGAAGGTGGAAACCTTGGTGGAGTAGCAGTTAAGAGCTCAGCTGCTAACCAAAAGGCCTGTGGTTCAAATCTACCAGGCACTCCTTGGAAACCCTATGGGGCAGTTCGAGTCTGTCCTACAGGGTCACTATGAGTCAGAACTGACTTGATGGCAAGGAGTTTATTTTAAGGTATTAGAGAGATTCCAAGTGTGACTGGGGCTATGGGATCTGAGTGCCACCATGGGCCGAGACACAGCAGGGACTCAGCTGGGACAGGGCTGCCACACTGTATGACCGAGGCTGGGACTGGAAAAAAACAAAACAGCTTCAGCTTTATTATGCTATGAGTCAAGCCTGCTCGAGAAAATATTTATGTCCACAGAGGATTTTGGAATGAGGGCCTGAATGCACGAGCAGCTAAAAGCTCTGCCGTCTGGATGTGGATGAGGAAGGAGACGAGCTTGGTGTGCCAGGAAGCAACCCAAAGCCAAGTGTGTGGAGTTCGCTGGGCCCAAGGCCCGAGGTGCCCCAGTGAGGGCAGACCCCAGGCCCTGGATACTGAGGAGAGGTCTGATGGAAAGGATCTTCCTGCATGCCACACCCCGCCCACCACCAGCCAGATTCTGAGACTTGTGGGTCATTGCCATTGAGCTGAGGGAGTTGGCACTGCAATTTAGAAAATTCTGGTGCTGAGTCCAGGGATGCCATGATGTGTCCACATGGCAGAGGTGGCTCTGCTCAGGCCCTCTCATACAGCTCAGCCTGCGGATGCCTCACCTGGCCCACCTGCTCCTGCAGCTGGTCCCTCTCTCGCCGGAGCTGGGTCACCTGCCCCTCCAGCTGCTCCTGCTGCTCCTCCAGGTGCCCACAGGCCTGCTTCAGGCCCCTGTGTTCTGCCCGCTCCTGTGCCAGCTGCTGCTCTGCCTGTGCCAGCTGCTCCTGTGAGCTGGTCTGCTCCCCCTCGAGCACCTGCTGCTGCTCCCGAAGGTGGTCCCGCTCCTGCTCCAGCTGCCGCAGGGTAGGGCGGTGTCAGGTGGGGTGGGGTCCTGCATCTAGCACACCCTCATCCCTCGGGAAGGGGAAGCCTCATTCCAGGAATGGAAAAGGCCATGGGGGAGAGGTAAGGGATGAAAGGAGGGGCATTGGGGCCAGGAGTCTCACAGCTACCCTGGGGGAAACCAAGGCTCAGGGCCAGCTCCCAGCACAGCCCTGTGGGTGTAGCCCTGCCCTGCTGGCCCACCTCGGTCCTGGGCTCACCTGGAAGATCAGCTGGTTCAGGGTGCCCTTGTCCTGAGCCAGCCCCTCCATCAAGGCCGCCATCTTGGCCAGGGAGTCCCTTTGCTCCACCCCCTCAGATCTGAGCTGGGTCACCAGCAGTTCCAGGTCAGCATTGCTGGACTCGGCCTGGGGTGGGACAGGGTGGCAGAGGTCACCCCAGGAGGGCACACCAGAGAGACTTCCAGATTCTCCAGCTCCGAGGAGTGGGCCCCCTGTCATGGACGGAGGGGGACAGGCCCCAGATGGGGACACAGTGGGAGGATTCCCACAGCCATCCCAGTGAAAGAGACGCCACCCGGGGCATGAAGGCTCCAGCCAGGAGAGGAGGCAGGATGAACAGGGGAGACCAGCAGGAAGTGGGGAGCGGCCAACGGGATAAGAGCAGGCCAGGAAGGATGAGTTGGGTCGCTCTGGCTGGGGATAGGAGGAGGCCCCCGGTGACACTTAGGGAGCTTTGGTGGTGGCTGAGGGAGCAGGTGGGGAGGAGAGGTGAGCGGAGGCGAGGCTGGCGAAGCTGGGGGGCCTGGGCACTGTGGGGGATGGGGCGCACCCGGGCTAGGGCGCCACGCAGGCCCTCGCTCTCGCTCTCCAGCATGTCCCTCTGCAGCTGCGTGGCGCTCAGCGCCTCCCAGGCCGACAACAGCTCCTTCTTGAGCCCCGAGACCTTCTCCTCCAGCTGCTCGAGGCGCGCTTGGCTGAGGCCCGGAAGGGGAGAGGGCATGAGGCCACCACAGGGCAGGCAGGGCGACCCCCAGGCCCCACCCCTGCTCCTCCCCCAGCCCAGCAGGGACCCCCCAGAAGGCCCGGAAGTGGGTGAGTCTAGAGGAGACTGCGCTCAAACGTGCCCCTGGTTCTGGGCTGGAGGAGGTTATCAGCCAAGACCCTTCACTGGGGCAAGGTGTGGGTTTTCTGATCCACACACAGAGGGTGAGTGTGTAAGTGTGTGTGTGTGAGTGTGTATATGTGCAAGTGTGCTTTTACCTGAGTATACAAATGTGTGTGCAAGGGTGCGTGTGCACAAGTACATATGTGCGTGTGTGAGTGTGCATGTGCACACGTGCTGGGAGTGGGGAGTACTCAGTGTGTCCTCAGCTGACTGCCCTGGCCCTCTGACCCCTTACTGGGCCCTTGGGACAGTCGATTTGCAGGGGGCAGAGAATGAATCTGGATGTTGGGGACCTGGACCCCTTGCCTCTCAGGTCCCCTGTGGTTTGCTGAGACAGGCTGGTGAGGATGCAGCCCCTGCAGTGGGGGAGGACACTGCGGCCCCACGGTCTGCAAGGCCAGACCCTCCCACACCTGGAGCTCCCCGGGCCTAGCCCACCTGGTGTCCAGCTCCCGCTGGCTCCGCCGCTCCTGCTGTGCCAGCTCGTCCCCCTGCTCCGCGCACAGCAGCAGGCTTCTCTGCAGCTCCGCGTTCACGGCCTCCAGCCTGCGCCTCTCCGCAGTTGAGATGTCCACTTGCCCTCTCAGCTCCTCCACCACCGCCTCCAGGGCCGCCTTCTCCCTGGGCAGGGGCAGCGTAGGGGGGAATGAGGACCCTCCCTGGACAGATCTAAGCCCAGTGTGAGCCGGAGGCGGTCGGGGACGTGAGTTCCAGGTGCTCTGAGGCCACGGGGCACGGAGCTCAGGGACTCAGGGCAGGAACAAGGCAGACTGAGACAGTGGGCTCTGACCCCATAGGCCTCTGGCCGTGTGACCCACTCCCTTGGCACCCCTGCGGGGGCCAAAGGTCACACGAGGTGTCTCGCTCATTGGGGCACTGCAGACCCAGCTCTGTGCAGACGCAGGGGAGCCCGGGGATGCGCCCAGCCTGGGCTTTGGGATGGTGTGGGCAGTGCATGGAGAAGCGTCAGGTGCGGCCCAGATGGGCCAGGTGAGGGGAAAGGAGGTGGCCTCAGGGCCCAGCCCCTCACCTGGTCCTGTCCTGCCTTGCCTTTGCCCTGGCCCCTGCCCTGCCCCTGCCCGGCCCATAGCTGCCCCCACCCCTGCCCACCTCCATCACCTTTCCAGGCGATCCACGGATGCCCTGCAGCCCTGGGCCTCCTGGCTATGGGCCTCCAGCTCGCCCAGGAGGGCCTCGTGTTCCCGAGCCTGCTCCCGCGCCTGCTCCTGCAAGAGTCCCTTCGAGGCCCGAAGCTCCTGCCGGCACTCGGATAGCTGCTCCCGGAGCCTGGCCACCACCGCCTGGGAGGCCTCCAGCTGCAGCTGCAGCTCCTGGCGGTGGAGGGGGGGCAGGTGTGAGGCTGGCCGGGCTCCCAACTCCCCCAGAAAAGATGCCCTTAAGCCTGCAGCCCCTCCCTGGGATACGGGTTCAGGGTGGCCCCTCCCTGGGATACGGACTCAGGGTGGCCACTCCTTAGGGTGTGGGCTCACAGGCAGCCCCTCCCCAGGACATGGCCTGGGGGCTGGGCACTGTTTGGCTCTGGGGGCCCCAGGCTGTGGCACCCACCTGCTCCCGCTGCCGCCGCCTCTCAATGGCTGCCTGTACGGCCCGCAGGGCGGGGTTCAGGGCAGCTGGGGAGTGGGCCCGGAGAGGGGATAGCCCCCAAGGCTGGGGGGATGTGGTGTGGAGGGGGCTCCTTGGTTGGCCCAGTGCCTCGTGGGCTTCTGGGCTGCCGCTCTGCACCAGCTCCATGCACCCCGAGTCTGCCTGGGCCACCTTCGGGGCACAGAAAGGAAGGGACAGAGGGTTAGAGGGGACAGAGCAGTGACTAAGTGGGGCCTTCCAACTGGACCCACAGATCATCGGGACCTGTGGGGCATCTCCTTTACCAGTGGTAGGGAAACTGAGGCAGCCCAGAGAGCCTGAGCACCAGGCGCCACGCCTCAAAGCTGGTGAGCATAAGACCAGTTACGGGATGCTCAGAGATGCCCAGGCTCGGCTACACTCCCAAGCCCCGGGCCCAGCTGCAGCTTTCCTTCTGAACACCCCTGAGGCCCTGGAGGGCTGGAGCGAGAGCAGGGGCACCTTGGCGATGCTGTTCAGCACGAGCCGCAGGGCATCCACTTGGTCCCTCAGGTCGTCCACCGCCAGCTGGCCCCTGCCTCGCCGGGATTCCTGCGGCCAGGGAGACTCCTCAGCAGGGCAGGCTGACACCCCCTCCTTGGGGGCCACCCCGGGGGCGGCGGGAGGCTTACCGGCCCCACGTACCAGTCCCTGCACCTCTGCTGTGAGGGCGCAGATGGTCCCCTCCTTGTTGGCGTTCTGCTCCATGAGCTGCTCCACCAGCCTTGTCTGCTCTGAGAGTCTGCAGAGGGGCCGGGGGGCAGGGGGGCAGGTGGTCAGTGCACAGCCCACTGTCATGTCCTGATGTGGCCTGCCCACTGGCACTCACTGCCCGTCAGTTAGCTGCTACACCCCTGCCCACATGGGCCTCAGTCCCTGGTCTGATCGAATGCCTCTCCCCTGCTATAGAACCTTCAATGGCTCCCACTGTCTTGGGAATAAAACGTTGACCCCAAGTCCGACATTCAACATCCCCACACTGGCCCTAACTCAGGACTCCAGCCTCATGCCAGCGGTTGCCCAAGGCCCTGGCCCCTGTCCTCCAACACCCCCGCACAGCGAACTTGATGCTCACCCCCCAACCTCTGACCTGGCTGGTCCTTCTGCGTCGAACACTGCCATCACCCTCAGTCTGACCATTTCCCTGGGGCCCTTTTCTTCTTTAAGGCCCCTGGCTTGCCCTGTGGCACCTGGGACGCCCCTCCCATGGCCCAGAGTCCTCAGTCAGCCCTGGGGGCTGCCCTGCACGGGGTCTTCCGGCACACGCCTGGGCCCCACTGAAGCACTCCCTCCTCTGGGGATGGGGCTGGGGCACGCTTGACTTGGTGGGCCACTCTGTAGGCAGAGGGGCTCCCGCTGGGTCAGCCAGCACGTGGGGGCTTGTGGCTGGGCCCACAGGCTCTGTCAGGGCGTCGCCTCGGCCCGGGAGCTGAGCCCCAGAGGCAGGGCTGTGAGGCTCACAGGGCTGACCCTGCACTCGGGGCCTCAGTCTCCTCACGAGGCAGGACGGCCCTCTGCCCCGGCCTCAGCTCCTTAACCGACTGGCGTCAAAACACACAGGTGCCTGGAAAAAAGGTCCTGCTTTTAGGCCTGGAAACCCTCTCCTGGGAACCAGGCGCGTGTTCACCGTGGCGTCCGTTAGAATGCTCAAATGTTAGGGACACCCTACATTTTCACTCCCAGGGGACTGGCTAAGGATATCTGGGCCCATCTGCATTGGGAACTGGCATGTGACCGCTGGAAACAGTGACTGTGAGTCGTTTGCTGCATCACGGGAAACGTCCTGATGTCAGATTGCTGGGTGACAACCGGACATAGAGTGACATGCCGCAGTCTGAGACCACGCAGCCCAGTAGACAGGAAGGAAGGCGCCGCACCCGGGGCCCACCTGGCCTGCAGCGCCACCTTCTCAGCGTCCCAGCAGCCCTGCAGCGCCAACATCTCCCGCACCTTGTCGCGCAGCTGCTGCTCCAGGGCACCCGCTGCGCTGCGGGCCGACAGGCGCTGCTTGGAGTCCAGGTTCAGGCAGGCCGTGTGCAGGCGACGCACTGTCCTGGCTGCTTCCGCCCGCATGTCGGTGAGACTCCTGAGGAGGCAGGGGCCCCACTCACAGATGAGCCTCTGCACCCAGCTGGGGCACCGGGCCGAGGCTCCAAGCCGGCAGGAGACACCATCTGACCTCATCAGCCCTGCTCCTGCCTGCCGCTAGGAGACGCCCCATCCTCGGGAGAACCCCCACCCCCGCCACGTGGCATCGGGTGGCCTGTGTGTCAGGGGTACCTGAGCCGCCTCTCTGCTGTGGTCTCCCCTCCTCACGGCCTGTGCCTCCTGGCTCGGCGTTTACCTATATCCCCCACAGCCACCCTCCTCTCTCTCCACCATGCCCACTGGGCCATGGGGCGGGGACCACTGAGACGTGGGAGGAGCCTTGTGGAGGGGCCAACACCCCTCCTCCTCCCCAGACAGGCCCTTGGTAGCCCGTAGGCAGGCGGCTGACACTCACCTCTCGGTGGCGGCTCGAAGCTCAGCCAGGTGTGCCTGGAGTGCCGTGGCCTGTCTCCACAGGAGCAGGAGGTCCTGGGACCCCCCCGGGCGTGTCCGCCAGGCCTGGACAGCAAGAGGTGTGTGTCCACTTCAGGAGAGAGGCTCAGGCGCTTCCGGAGAGTGGAGCCCTGTGATCCCGTCCCCCCACCCACAACTCACTTCCAGGATCCATGCTGGGCAGGCTCCCCGGGGCCCTGGTACCGAGACCCTGCACTGCCCACCAACCTCTGCGTACCACAGGCTTGCCTGCCAGAACAATGCACGTGAGCACTGGGGTCCCCCGTACCCCAACCTTGGCAAGCTGCAGCCCCCAAGAGAGCACCCCCAGCCCCCATGTGAATGGTGGCAGGCTGCATGACCCCCAGAGGACCCACGGCACCTGCCTGCTGTGGGGGTTAGATGGGGTGGGGTTTATGGTCCCATAAAGCGGCAGGGTGCTGACTCAGTAGTGCTCACCAGCTATCATCTGGAACTTCTCAGCCATTAAACCCCCCAGAACCAGGACCTACTCAGCCGTCTCCCCACTGGGACGTTAGACCCCTTGGGGGCACTCAGCTCCTGTCCCCTAAGGCAGGAAGGACAGGGGTCCTTCTCTTTCTCCGGTCCCAGGAGAGGCTGCTCTGATCCAAGGCCTACTCAGTGAGTGTTCACCTGTGGGGTCTGGCACCTTGTAGGTGCTGGGGAGACAGGTGAGTCTGGAGTTTCCACCATTTGGAACCCCTGGGGTAACAGAGGACAGATGGGGAACTCTTCCAGGCTCCATGCTGAGCAGGCTCCCGAGGGCCCTGGTACCAAGCAGAGTGGACTGGGGTAGTGATGGCGGCGGGAGGCCCTGCAGGACTCTGAGGACCGGGACTCCGGCCATGTGCTGTATGCTCAGTGTGTCCACTCTTGCACAGATCTAAGCTGCAGCCCAGAACAACTGGTCCTGAGTTTCCACGCCACCTTCCCGGCCCCTGCACCCCAGTGCCTCCTGCATGCTCCCCTCCAGGAACACCAGGGGCTTCAGAAACACACCCCGTGATTCCCACATCCCTGCTGTCCCTCCCTGACCGTGAGAGCGCCACCCTCTGGACAAGCTCCTTCCCATGTTCTTCAGTGTTGCTTTCAGACTGAATGTGTTCACATTCTGCCCATTCTTCAAGACCCATGCAACTGCCTCTCTCTTCATGAAGCATTTCCTGATGCCCCTCCCACCATCCCACATCTGAGGTCACCCCCACTCTCACTGAGCCAAATAACACTTTGCTGAGTATCTCCTGTAGGGTGTACACTTTCTGTCTATTACCAAGCCTTCTGTATACTTGCTTTAGCTGTGCCCCTCCCCCGATTGTGATCATCAAAAGAGCAACATGGAAGGTCAAATGCCTGGACCAACCTGTCCAGTGAACACAATAAAATCCATGAGATTTCATACTTAACAGCTTCTTAAATTCAAGGATAGGCTGGCCAAAACAGTAAGGAACACTCAGAACAGAACTGGGGAAGTCGGGGACCCAAGAGGAATGTAGGCAACTTCTTGCCAAACTGGGTGATTTGAACATCAGTTTCCTTGCCACAAGAGGCTCAGGGGACAGAAAGCAAATCCTGGGGTCCACCCAAAGTGGAGACCCTAATAGAGAACTCCTCACACATAAAAGTGATACTCCAACATCTGCACTCTCAGAATAAGAGTGAATTAAAATACTCCCTTACACACACACACACACACACACACACACTTTTGCAGCAGACTGTAAGGAAAACTTCCTGTCTAGAACACTGGAGTTGAGCAGAAGGACAAAAAAATTTCCTGTGTATTTGGAACCACAAGTTATCCTTCATGCAGTTTGTAACCTGATTTCACACAATCTGGGTGGTTTCAAAAAACTCAACCTGGAAATTTACTTCAAGTGACCCCAGGGACTGGCAGAGCACTGAGGCATTTGTCAGAAGCAAATGCAAATCCTTTCTGAAGATGTCACATTAATTCCAGGTTTCAAAAAATCCTCACAAAGTTCCAAGGAAAATAAGCAGCTCTTAGTTTTAAACATCGCCAGCGATAAAAGGAAACAAAACACCATGATCAAGAGCCAGCGGAAACAATAGAATCAGACCCTGAAAAACTTCAGATACTAGAAATTGGACAAAGAATACAAAATAACTGCTATGTTTTTAAAAATATGCTTCTATAAATAAATGAGAGGCTTGCAAATATGAGTAAACACTAAGATATTTGGAAAAGAATTGGATAGAACTCTTAATGATGAAAAATATATTTGGAATTTAAACTCAGTCAGATTAGACACCAGAAGAGAAAATTGATGAACAGGAATGTAGATTTGAAAAAATTATCTGGAATACAGTTCAGAGTGACAAAAAGAAATAAATATGAGAGGTTAAGAGATATAGATGATAGTATAAGAATGGCCAACACACATCTAATTGGAGTTCAAGCACAGGAGAGCAATAATGAGCATAGACAATATTTACAGAGATAATGGCTCCTTCCCAAAAATGGTGAAAGACACAAGAAGCCCAACGAATGTTAAACAGAATAAACGAAAGAAATCTACCAATAGACACATCATAGTAAGATTGCAGAACACCAAAGTCAAAGCAAAGATCTTAAAAGCAGCCAGAGTAAAAAGACAAATTACCTTTACAAGGAGTCAGTCAGAATCAAAGAAGGCTGGAAAGCTGATTTCTCAACAGCAACAATGGAAGCCAGAAGACAGAGAAAGGATACCTTTTAGGTGCTGAGAGAAAATAACTGTCAACCAGTGAGAATACATTTCAAGGACAAGGGTGAAATAAAGATCCATGTTAACACCAAATTGAACTCTGGGGACTCTCCTCCCAGGACACTGGTTTGCACATGTGATGAGCCCAGCTGTATGAGCTGTATGAAGATGTAGACCAGGCAACAAACTGTGGGGTGTGATCTGTCTCAAATACCACTCCTACCCCTGCCAAAGTCCCATCATTAGAGATTACCCCTTGAGGACAAACAGCTCTCTCAGTGGCACTTCCTCTCTTATGTCTCAATTGGTTTATGATTCCCTCCTTTCCCCACTTGGGGGGTGGGGTTGGGGTGACAGCAGCAGGAGGGTCCACAGCAGCTGCAGAGAGACTAGGGGCAGGGGAGCTGAACTCCTCCCATGTGACGGCTTTGCCTAGGGACACCCCTGTGGGCCCACGGTGGCCCAGGCAGCTACCCTTGCTACCTGAACCCCTGTGGCTCCTCTGAGGTGGGCTTGTTTGGAGGGATGTCTGTGTGGAGCCCAGTTTGAGGTACAGGCACTTGGGGGCCGCCTTGGGCTTCTTCTCCACCTGGAAGGGGCCCACTTTCAAATCGGCTCCTGGGGAGAATCCCGCCCACAGCACATGTGGTGGACACTGGGTTGTGCTGTCCAGACGCCCTTGGGTGAAGGGCTGCTGCCCTTGCCACCGCTGAGAGGGTGCTGGGGACACTTTCAGCTCCGAGCTTCTTTAGGGACTGCCTTAGCTGAGAGAGCTACCTCCACCAACACCACACCCCTTCCAGGGGGGCCCACCTCCAACGACAGATTGGTTCAGGGCCATGAATACCTGGACCCCTCTCTCCCACAGGTGCTGACCCCTAGATCACTGTGCCTTGATGCCAGATGGCTCAGGGTTTCAGAAACTGTGAGCGGGTGGGCTGTGGAGGTCCTTTGATGTCCTGGCCAGGGGCAGTGGGTGACCATGCGGCTCCAGGCCCCTCTGAGAGACCCTTCTCCTGCAGTCTGACAAGCACTGGCCATGAGGCCTCCTTCCCTCCTTGACGGGCAGGGCTGGGAGGACCACTGGGGTGCAGACCCCCCCAAGCCAGGACTCGGCCCCTATACCGCATTATACTTTTCACATCTGCCTTGGGGTCCTGTCTACCGCTTCTCAAGGAGTTCTCTCCTCTAGGGGGACACCAGGCATTCTCAGTCCACAGACTGCTCTGGCCAGGCTGTGGGCTGCCCGGAAGGCCTGTGGTCTTGCCTCCTGGAGGAGCCGCCGCTGTAGCCAGCCCACCCTTCCCTGTTTCCTGCTGCCCCCAAAGCAGAGTCCCCCAGCAGGTGGGGGAGTGGAGGTCGGCACCTCTCTCTTGGGCTGCCGCCGCGCCTCCTGGAGCCCCAGTTCTCCCCTCAGGCGCAGCATGCTGCCTGCTGTCCTGGCCAGCTCCTCCACCAGTGCGTCGTTGGCCTTCTTCATGTGCTCCAGCTGCTCCCGCAGAAGCGTGTTCACCTGTGCAAGGCCAGTGCTCCTGGACAGGACAGACCACAGCAGCGGGGCGGTGGGCAGGCAGGGACCTCAGGGAGGCCTCAGAGCCCCAGGCCCTGAGTTAAGGGGCTCAAGTGGCACCCCAGCCCTCCTATGCCAGCTGACCCAGCTCAGGTGTGTGGCCCCTGCAGTAAGCCCTAGAGCACTGACCACCTGCAAAGGCCCCACATCAGCCCCCACCGAGGGCCAGGGTAGGGCCAACCCGGGGACCCCTTCTCTCCTGAGACATGGCTCTCCACTTTCCCCCCTCTCGGATGTGAACCCCTCCTCCGTCTCTGAACCTCCCTCTGGCTCCGCCCCACCCGCCGTGGCCAGCAATTGTGGTGGGTGGGAGTGGAGACCAGAGAGTTGGGGTCACTGTTAGGATGGTGGGGTGACCACTGGGGTTCTGAGGCTATGGCACTGAGAGGCCCCTTGGGCAGAGGGCGAATAGCCCCAGGGCACAGTGGAGTCCTCTGTCCGTCGTGCTCCGCCCACTGGCCTCACCTCTGCTCGGCGGCCTCCAGCCGGCCAAGGGCCTCCTCCAGGTCCACACTGTGTTCCAGCTCTGACCTCTGCAGCCGGGCCTGCAGCTGGAGAGGCAAGAGACCACCAGGCCAGGTGTGGACAGCTTTGGTGAAAGCAGGGGCTGGGGTGGGCCAGGCTCTGGCCTCCTCCACGTGGCAGGTCAGACAGCTGGTGCTGCACTCAGCACCCACTTGAGGGTGTCACCTGCATCAGACCTGCCCCCCCGGCCGAGGGACAGCACAGAGGGGGGCAGGGGAGGGGCACCGGGCTCAGCTGGGAGGTGTGACTGGTGGGCCTCCGCTTGGGCAGGACTTGGTGTGGGCGTGTGGATGTGTGAGGCAGGCGCCCCGCGGGTGGGGCTGCGGGACCCTCAAGGCAGCTGGTGCAGCCTCACACTGGCTCACAGGTGGGTAAGCTGAGAGCTCGGAAGGGGCCTGCAGGACAGCTGGTTTCTGCAGGTCCCAGGCCCCCAGGCCACCCCAATGCAAGATGGAAGTGGGGTCCCATGGACAGCAGGTGTCCAGGAACCATGGGGAGCTTCGCTGCCATGGGGTTTTGGGGAGCTGGAAGGAGGTACTTGACACAGCACTCTGGCCTCCAGGGGTCAGGCCAGCTGCCAGCCGCTGTCGACAGGGCCAGGCAGACCGCCCTCTCTGGGCCTCAGCTTCCTCGCTGCTGCCCCCTCACAGTTGGGCTTCTGACTCCTCACAGTGCCTGGGCGATGGGCGCCTGCCTCCGTGCTCCAGTCTCCTGGGGATCTGAGCCCTCACCTTCACGGCATGGCCCCCTTCCCCACGGGAGGGACTGCTCTGGCTGCTCCTGAACGCCCAGAGGGCAGGGCCGGTCCTGGCCAGCCGTTGGGGGTTTCTGTTTTGTGTCGTTATGGTGCCTCAGGCCCATCCAGGAGGCCGTCAGGGAAGCAGGGGCGAGGCCTGGTGTGAACCACTGGGCCTCTCCCACGTCCTCTCCCAGCTACTGCCTGGCTCCCCACAGCCCACCTGGGGTGCCCTGTCTCCTCCCAGACGGGAGATGGAGCTGAGGCTGAGGGATGCGAGGCTGAGGGGTACCCACACCTCCTGGCCTGACCCAGCCCCATGGACTGCCCACCTCTGGCTGGGGTGCAAGTTGACCCCACTGTCTCGGGAGCGGGGCTGAGGAAGGCGAGCATGGTGAGGGCTGCACGCAGCAGGTGGCAGGCAGGGGTGCGAGGACCCCACACAGCCCCCAGCAGGACGAGAAAGAGGGCTGGGGGGCCCAGAGCAAGGCTGGTGGCAAGCAGGGCTGGGAGGGCCACCGGGGTGCAGACCGCAAGAAGCAGGTGCAATTGCCACCCCTCCCCATGTCTCCCCACCCCTTTCCACCCCTCCCCATCCAATTGACTTGGGGGCAACTTGAGGCATGGCCAGGGGCCTCCTGTGGCGCCCACAGGTGCCAAAATGCCCTGCTGGCGCTGAGCGTGGGGCGGCTGCGTCTGGGACCTGGGCGCTGACTCAGAGTTTACTAATTGTCTGCAGCGTTTCTGCGGCTTCTATCCCCCCGCCCCAGGGCCCATTCCCAACATCTCCCCACCCTGTGTAAGGAAGCGCTCTCCCTCCCACATGCCTGGCGGGGCCACACAAGGCCTGAAGGAGGGTGCGGGGCCGGGTCTCCCCTGTTGTGAGAACAAGGGAGTAACCTCCTCACAGTGCTGCCCCAGGGACTCCCCGTGGCAGGGAGGGACAGGTGAACGGTGTGTAGATGGAGACGAGGGGGGAGGGGTGGCCCAGAGAAAGGAGGACAGGGAAGGAAGCTCTTGGGGGGCCCACAGAAGGGAGGCTGACTGGCCTGCAGGCATCAGCACTGGTCACTGGCCACAGGCTGGACAAAGGGCCGAACCAGCTCGGGCCTGGCCCCAGCACTGGTGACGCAGCCCTAGGCAAGCACTGGCCCCCTCTGAGCCTCTGTTTCCTCTCTGGAAAGTGGGTCTTAGGTCCTGCCCCTCAGAACAGTTGGGGCTCCGAAAGAAGCATGGTGGGGGCTGGGCCAGGCACAGTGGGGCTCTGAGCTGGGCCCCCTCCTCCACGCCCACCTGGCCTGACCCTGCCTTTGGAGTGGCCAACACGGGAGAGAGGCTCTGGCCGAGCAGGTTTCTTCACTTTCCTTCCTGCCTCAGCTTCCCCAACCACACTTTATGACCAAATAGGCTCCTGGCTGCAGCTCTCTGGGCACACTGGAAAGCATGACCCCTTGCCCCTCCTCCATCCTCGGAGGTCTCAGAGGAGGGCTGGGGGTGGCCGTTTCTCCCTGGGCAGGCCTATTCCTTCCTGCTGGCCTTCCCTCTCCCTTCAGCGGGGCTGGTTTTGTGCTTAACTAAGCGGTCAGGCAGGCCGGTCCACAGGGCTCCCGGGCAGGCATGTGGGGACACGGTAGTGCTGAACTGGGGCCTTGAGGGGAAACTGTCTCCCCGCCCCTCCCACCTCAGGCCTCAGTTTCCCCATTTGTAGCCCCAAGGTTTGGCTAAGTTGTGTTCTAAGACTCCCTGGCCAACCCACACAGGCGGCCCCAGCTCCCCTCACACTTACCCGCTGGCTGACTGCGTGGTACCTGCTGGTCAGCTCGTCCCGCTCGGCACCTGCCTGGGCTAGCAGGTCCTCCAGCCGGGACAGCTCCTCCTGCAGCAGCTCATTCTCTTCCTGCGTGTGGGCCGCAGTGGCGGGGGGCTCTGGCACCCCTGCAGACAAGGTACCCTGGGTAAGCGCCCCGTCCCCTCAGCCATGGCACCAGGCCCCCAGGTGGGACTGTGTGCTGCCCGCCGGGCTCCCACGTGGGGTTGGCCTCAGTCTCTGGGTGGGGCCCCAGCTCAGACCGTGGAGACCCCAGGAGCCAGGGTGGGGGTACCTTGACACTCTGGGCCTGGCTTCCCCTCTTGCCGGTGGGCATTCTACCACTCCCTCTGTCTCTATCAACATTCTTAAACCTTGCTGTTGTTGTTAGGTGCCTTCAAGTCAGTTCTGACTCATAGGACCCCATGTATAACAGAAGGAAACACTGCCCGGTCCTGCGCCATCCTCACAGTTGTTATGCTTAAGCCCATTGTTGCAGCCACTGTGTCAGTCCATCTCATTGAAGGTCTTCCTCTTTTTCGCTGACCCTGTACTTTACCAAGCATGATGTCCTTTTCCAGGGACTGATCCTTCCTGACAACATGTCCAAAGTATGTGAGATGTAGTCTCGTCATCCTTGCTTCTAAGGAGCATTCTGGTTGTACTTCTTCCAAGATAGATTTGTTCGTTCTTTTGGCAGTCCATGCTATATTCAACACTCTTTGCCAACACCACAATTCAAAGGCGTCAATTCTTCTTCGGTCTTCCTTATTCATCATCCAGCTTTCACATGCATAAGAGGTGATTGAAAACACCATGGCTTGGATCAGGCTCACCTTAGTCTTCAAGGTGACATCTTTGCTTTTCAACACTTTAAAGAAGTCTTTTGCAGCAGATTTGCCCAATGCAATGTGTCTTTTGATATCTTGACTGCTGCTTCCATGAGTGTTGATTGTGTATGTCAGTAAAATGAAATCCCTGACTACTTCAATCTTCTCTCCGTTTATCATGATGTTGCTTATTGGTCCAGTTGTGAGGATTTTTGTTTTCTTTCTGTTGAGGTGTAATCCATACTGAAGGCTGTGGTCTTTAATCTTCATCAGTAAGTGCCTCAAGTCCCCTTCACTTTCAGCAAGCAAGGTTGTGTCATCTGCATAACACAGGTTGTTAATGAGTCTTCCTCCAATCCTAATGCCCTGTTCTTCTTCATATAGTCCAGCTTCTTGGATTATTTGCTCAGCATACAGATTGACTAGGTATGGTGAAAGGATGCAACCCTGACGCACACCTTTCCTGACTTTAAATCACGCAGTACCCCCTTGTTCTGTTTGAACAACTGCCTCTTGATCTATGTACAGGTTCCTCATGAGCACAATTTAGTGTTCTGGAATTCCCATTCTTCATAATGTTATCCATAATTTGTTATGATCCACACAGTCGAATGCCTTTGCACAGTCAATAAAACATAGACAGACATCTTTCTGGTATTCTCTGCTTTCAGGCAGGATTCATCTGACATCAGCAATGGTATCCCTTGTTCCACGTCCTCTTCTGAATCCGGCTTGAATTTCTGGCAGTTCCCTGTTGATATACTGCTGCAGCCACTTTTGACTGATTTTCAGCAAAATTTTACTTGTGTGTGATATTAATGATACTGTTTGATAATTTCCACATTGGGTTGGATCACCTTTCTTGGGAATAGGCATAAATATGGATTTCTTCCAGTCGGTTGGCCAGACAGCAGTCTTCCAAATTTCTTGGCATACACGAGTGAGCTCTTCCAGTGCTGCATCTGTTTGTTGAAACATCTCAGTTGGTATTCCGTCAGTTCCTGGAGCCTTGTTTTTCGCCAATGCTTTCCGTGCAGCTTGGACTTCTTCCTTCAGTACCATTGGTTCCTGTACAGGTGGTACCTCCCGAAATGTTGAATACTGACCAGTTCTTTTTGGTACAGTGACTCTGTGTATTCCTTCCATCTTCTTTTGATGCTTCCTGAATCGTTTAATATTTTCCCCACAGAATCCTTCAATATTGCAACTTGATTTTTTTTTTTTTATTCAGTTCTCTCAGCTTGAGAAATGCAGAGTGTGTTCTTCCCTTTTGGTTTTCCATCTCCACCTCTTTGCACGTGTCATTGTAATACTTCGTTCTCTCGAACTGCCCTTTGAAATCTTCTGTTCAACTCTTTTACTTCATCATTTCTTTCTTAAACCTTAGAACAAACAAATCTGTCTTGGAAGAAGTACAGCCAGAATGCTCCTTAGAAGCAAGGATGATGAGACTTTGTCTCATGTACTTTGGACATGTTATCAGGAGGGACTAGTCCCTGGATAAAGACATCATGCTTGGTAAAGTAGAAGGTCAACGAAAAAGAGGAAGACCCTTAACGAGATGGATTGACACAGTGGCTGCAACAATGGGCTCAAACATAGCAATGATTGTGAGGATGGCGCAGGACCGGGCACTGTTTCATTCTGTTGTACACAGGGTCGCTATGTGTGGGAACCGACTCGACGGCATCTAACAACAAAAACAAATCCAGGTATATACTCATGCCCAAGCCCTGCCCCAAACCAGCTACAGCGGAATGAATGGGCTGGCCCAGACATGGAGGTTCCCCCCTTGTGAGGCAGTGAGGCCATGATTTCAGGGTGGCCAGACCCCACCCCTGTATCAGTTGCTTTTCTAAATACCTGATGGGCTTTCCTTTTCCTTCATGCACACAGCGAGCTTTCCGGTCCTTCAGAAGCTGGGCAAACGCTTGCTATAGTGGAAGGGGTGTGGGTCTGGCACAGTCTCCCAACATGGACAGCCTGGGAGCCCAGGTACCCAGGTATGAGGGGTAAGGATTAGGATGGCACTGTGCGGGGTGCCTGCAGAGCTGGGTGGGAGGCAAGAGGAGCACTGGGACAGCATCACCAAGCGTCTGTGCCCCCGAGGGCCAGGCTAATGAAAAGCCAAGGAGGAAGGAGTAAATTTAGACTGGTGGCCACCTGAAGAAGGTGCAGATGCAGCCTGGCTCAGGGACAGTCCCTGTGGTGTCAGGGGGTACCCTGTGAAGGTGGACAGAACACCCTGTGGTAGCCCTGTGGGTGGCATGGCACCGCACCCCACCAGGGAGGGCCAGCCCCAGTCACAGGCCACAGGGCAGTCCTGGACGGGGTGGACTTTGGCCCCCGGAAGCTGGACCCCAGTCCACTGCCCGAGGTTCCCTGGTGCCCCCTCACCTTTTGGCGGCTCCTCGCCCAGGCTGCTGGCCACGATCTCACGGATGCGGGCAGGCACGGGGGTGGGCGACGCCTGCTGGCCTTCCCCCCAGACAGTCAGCGCCCGGTCCTCTCTGCTGGCTGTGGGGCCCAGGACAGTGTCCTCCAGTCTCTGAAAAATACCCGGAGACCCTGGGGCTGTTGCCCCTAGACAGCTGCCTGGCATCCCCCTCATAGGAACCCCACTGGAGTCTGTGAAGTCCAAGGGCCAGCAGGTCACCCTGTGCACCGCGCTTCGGTTTCTCCACCTATCGAGTGGGACTGCTCTGAGCAGCGATGAGGAAGGTACTCAGAGGACTAGATCTGAAGAATACCGGGCCAAGGCCAGCCCCGCCCTCTGCCCCATCCATCCCCTGAGGGCCAGGCTGAGGGCTGGGCCTGAGTCATCCAGAGTCCTCCTCTCAGGGATGTTGGAGGCAGGCTTGGTGCCCTGTTCACAAGTAGGAAACTGAGGCCCAGGCTTGCAGGTAACCGGCAGGTAGAGCTGTGACATAAGCCTCCATGTCCCTGGGTGGCTGGTCCCCGGGGCTGCAAAGCCAGGGAGCACAGGGTCCCCAACCCCCTCCAACCCACGGGAGCAGTCAAGGGCTCACAGCTGTTTGCACAGCTGGGGGGGGGGGTGGGGGAGAGGGTCACAGGGCAAGGAAAAGAGGCTGACAACAGGGAGAAGGACAGAGGCTCAGCAGTCCTTCTCTTTCTTCTTGAATAAGACCACCATGTGGGCGGGGCTTGTCCACCTGCAGGAGGGGTGCGTGGGCTCAGGAGAGGGGCAGCGCTGCAGGGGGGCAGGATAAGAAAAGCAGGTTCAGCAGCATTCTCCCTCACCCCCACTGGGCTCTGAGGGGTAAATGTGGGGTGTCTCATCTTGGCTCCTTGCAGACCGGTGCCGTGGGAAGAGTCAGTGAGGGACAGCAAGGGACAGTGAGGGACAGCGAGGGCGCCTTCCTTCCTGAGCCTGGTTCCTGCCCTCCGGCCCCCAGCTCTTGAGTGGCTGACCTACTGGGAAGAGGTCTGGATAGGCCTGGAAGTGGGCAGGAGGTTCCGGGGTCCTGGGTACCCTGAAACCCATCTTGAAAGGGAGTCCTGGGCTCTGAGCAGGCACATGCTGGTGGCCTGGGGCCTCTTTTTTCCTTGGGGAGGAGCCCAGCTAAAGGGCCAGAGAGGACCTGGAAGCCGGCCTGGGCAGGGCCTCCTGCGGGTCTCGGTAGGGTGCTGATTGGGGTGGGTGGGTCATGGATTGAATTGTGTCCTCTAAAAATATGTGTCAACTTGGCTAGGCCATGAGTCTCAGTATTGTGTGGTTGTCCTCCATTTTGTGATCTGATGTAATTGTCCTATGTGTTGTAAATCCTAATCTCTGCCTGTGGTTAATGAGGCAAGATGAGGTTATGTTAAAGAGTATTAGGGTGGGATGCAACACCCTCACTCAGGTCACAGCCCCGATCTGATGTAACAGGAGTTTCCCTGGGGTGTGGCCTGCATCACCTTTATCTTACAAGAGATAAAAGGAGAGAGAAGCCAGGGAGAGATAGGGACCTCATACCATCAAGAAAGAAGAGCCAGGAGTGGAGCATGTCCTTTGGACCTGGGGTCCCTGTGCTCAGAAGCTCCTGGACCAGCGAAGATTGACAACAAGGATGTCCCCCAAGAGCCAACGGAAACAAAAAGACTTCCCCTGGAGCTAGTGCCCTGAGTTCAGACTTCTAGTCTCCTAAACTGTGAGAGAATAAATTTCTGTTTGCTAAAGCCATCCACTTGTGGTATTTCTGTCATAGCAGCACTAGATGACTAAGGCAGCGGGGAGCCGGCAAGGCCCAGAAAAGCTGGGGGGCCGATGCAGGGCCATTCCAAACCAACACAAGACCTTGGGGAACTGAGAGCTCAACCAGGTCACCCAAGACTGAGGACAGCCTCAGCCTCCCACCCCTCTACCACGCTAGGACATGTGGGTTAAAGTGGTGGTCGGACTATTAAGGGGTGGCTGGATGTGGCCGGGGGGCGGGGGAGGGAGTGGTTCTGGGAGAGGGCTTTCCAGGCTGGAAACATGGACTCCCTCTGCCTCCCCTCCTCTAGTCCCACAGCCTTCCCATCCCTGTCACCTGGGACCCCCTCTCCCCGTGGCCAGCTCCGCCATGCGCCCCGCCTCCCGTGACTGCCCAGATCACCTCCTCCCAGCCCAGGGTCTTGGTGAGGGACCCCTCCCCACCTGTCCTGTCGCCCTTTCACCTCTCCCTTCTCGCCCTGAAGACCCCCTCTAGGCCCAGCCTCCTCCTGGCTCTACCTCTAAGCCCCCCAGCTGGTGGCTGGAAGGGGAGGCTTAGAGGGCTTCCTGTCCTCTCCTCCCCCCGCCTGCTCCTGGCCTCCCCCCTCCGGCTCTTCCCTCACACACCAGCCAGGCCCTCCTCCCTCACACACCATCCCTCCTCCCTCACACACCATCCCTCCTCCCTCACACCATCCCTCCTCCCTCACACACCATCCCTGGCCCTCCTCCCTCACACACCATCCCTCCTCCCTCACACACCTTCCCTGGCCCTCCTCCCTCACACCCATCCTGCAGAGCTACTTCCCCATCCACTCCCCACAACACTGACCCCCTCCTGGGCGGGTGCAGCTGAGTCATTCCCAGACCTGTCTCCTGCCCAGAGGGGGTGGGCGAGGGCACGGCCCGCAGCCCCCCTCGGCAAGCCCCCAGCAACTGCTCCCCTCCTGCAGCCTGAGCCCCGGGCCCAGGTCTGCCTGCCCTCATTTAGGCCTGAGCCTTACTGTTCACCAGTGTAGGACTGGAGTCCCCTGGGTTCCCCAGATGAGCCCTTGGAGTCTTACTGGGGTGGGCAGTGACGGACCACCTCGCCCTGTGGGGGGCAAGGGGCCAAGGCAGCTCTCGCTCCCCTTCTGGAACCAGCCGCCTCCCATGTCCTCCCAGGAGGAAACGGCTGGAGGACCCTCAGCCACCATCTGCCCTGACGCCTCATTTTACACACGGGCAAACTGAGGCCCAGGTGTGACCAGAACTCCCCAGAGCCCACCCTACGAGGCCGGGAAAGACTGCCCCCTGCCCGCTTCCTCCGCGGCTGCCCCCTCCCCGCTCCCCGGGGCATCGGCGGCGCCACCCGCTGACGGGAAAGCGCGCAGCATGAACTTGACTCATTGCTAACGTTACAGAGGGTCACTATTAGCCGAGACGTCCCAAGAGGCGCTGGGGGCGTAATGGGTTCCAGCTGTGGCCGGGTGCCTGCGATGGGCCGCAGCCGAGCGTCGGCGGGGGGCTTGGTGGGGGGCCGCGCGGAGGGGGTGTCCTGTCCCCTCCTCCCCCGTCCCTGCAGCCCGCGGTGGGGGGGAGAGGGAGGGGTCGATTGGGAGTGAGGGCAGCCCCGCCCCCAAGGAAGCAACTGGAGCCGAGAGGCGAGAGCGGGGAGAGGTGGGGGGCGGGGAAAGGGGCGAGGGGAGGGGGCGAGGGGAAGGGCTCCGTCAGGGCCAGGGGTCTGCGCCGACCTCCCGGTTCCGGCTGGGTCGCGTCCCGCAGGGCTCTGCCGCCCGCCTCGCAGCCCCGGTCACGAGGCCTCGACCTGCCCTGCCCCGTGTTCGGGGGCACCGCCCAGCGTTCCCGCGTCCCCAGCGCCCCCCAGGCTTGCGACGCGCTGCCACCTGCCGCACAGCAGGTCCCTGGCGGGGCGCCTCCTCCGCGGCTGGTGGGTCCTTCCTGGTTGGGGCGGAGGGGCGCCTAGTTCTGACCCGCACAGTGTGCGCAGAAACTTCTAGAAGGCCCGTTGGGAGCCTCAGCCGAGGCACCGCCTTGGATTTAAGGACATCAGGGCTGGACATCAATTTCCCTAAAGACCCCAGACTCATAACAGTCCTGCCCGCATGGTCACGCTGCTGCCCCAGCCCCACCTCCTGGGCCAACTGCCCCTGCATCGCTCTCTCGGCTCTTCCGGTCCTCTCCTCTCGCTCTCGGTTCTGGGCCTTGGTCCCGCCGGTGCACGACAAGAGGGTACTTACCCTCACCGGGAGGTCACAGCCCCCGCGTGAGGCCACTGCGTGTCTGCCTGAGGGAGCCAGACCGTGACCCTGAGGTGGGTCTGTGTGACCCAGTGGGGACAGCCACCCCCTCCTCATGCCGCCCATCCCCACTCGGGCTCTGTGCCTGTGTGGAAGGTAGTGCCCACCCTCCTCGGGTATTCCCCTACCCCCAGGGTTAGAGCAGGACTCCCTACTGCTAAGAAACCGCTCGGGTCCCAGCTCTGCCGTCAATGTGCTATGTGACCCTGGCGTGTCACCTGCCCTCCTGAACCTCAGCTGTGCCACAGCCCTTAGTGTCCCCATCTGTGAAAAGGGGGAGGGGGGTAACCCCGACTACCTGGGCCCCACAGACCCTGGCATCTGTCAATGGTGGAGCATGGGTGTTGAGAATGGGGCAAGAGGTAACGGGCTGCTGGAGGTGCTGGCAGTTGGACCCGGTGGTAGGGTGACCTAGAACCCACAGCCCCTCCCCATCACCCCTGCCTGGCCCCCAAACCCTCCCTGTTAGCGCCACCAGCTGGGAAGGGAGCCTGGAATGGAAGCTGCTAGCAACCCCCGCTCCCCCCACGCTCCCAGGGATAAGTTTCCTGCTGTGGACCCTGTGGTTCTAGGCTTCTGGGGCTGCTGCAGGGTCCCCTTCTCCACCTCCTCCACTCAGATCCGGGCCCAAGTACCGCAGATCACCGGAAGGTGGATATGGAAGTCTCCTTATCCTACTCGGCGCTGCAGATAGGGAAACCGAGGCCAGGGAACATGACCGACTATTCACCGTTGTGGGGCCGAACTGACGCCCACCCCTCCCATCGCAGTGCTACGCACACAGGGACCCGACCTCGTGGACCGGCCTCTGCCCTGGGTTGCTGTGGGCCACCCGCTCCGCCCACCCCCCGCGCCTTAGGCGGGACCCTTGGGACCCTTCTACTAGGCGGTCGGCAAGGCCACCTTTTGGGAGGAGGTTGGGGTGCTGCTGAGACACCCGCAGAGCTCTGGGCCTTCCCCGCCCTTGGCACCCCCCCTGAGAGCAGAGCGCTGTGGTTCTCCACGTGTCGGGTTCCTGTAACGGGGCTGGGGAGGCACGTCCAATGGGAC